AAATTTTTGACCTAAATTTAAATGTTTATGCATGTGGTTTAAATGAAAATGACATCTCTCTAACAATTGATATAATTTTTTTTTCAAATGCTTAACATTTTTATAAAACTTTATGCATATGCACTTAATTTCAATAATTAATATTGCATAAAGTATTTTAGACTTGAATGTATTAAATTTCATGTGCTACTAACATATTTGTTATTCCTTGTTGAAATTCAATTTTGTTTAAGTGTCATGATCTTAAAAGCTAAATTTTGTTTGGAAAGCTATTATTGAGGGGGAGCTTTGATTTTTCAAATTTTTTTAAATGTCAAATTTACTACTTACTCTCCAAAGTTATTTTGAACTTCAAAGATTGAATTATTTTTGATATAACAAAAAGGGGGAGAAGTTTGTTTTGAAAAATTCAATTTCTTAATGAAAAAGGATAGCTTAACATTTTCATATATTTTCTAACAATTGGTAACAACTGATATCATTTTGTTAACAATATGTATCTTTTTCATTAAAAATTTTATTAAAAGAGAGTTTTGCCAAAAACATTTTTTCAAATGTTTTGTTATATCAGAAAAGGGGAGATTTTTGAATTATGTTTCGATATAACAAATTTAAGGCAAAATGTTTTTGGACTTGAATTGAATTTATTCAAAGTTTTAAAAAGGTTTCAAAATTAATTCAAAGTCCATTAAATTCGGATTTGAGCAAAAATGCTAAAGGGTGTCAAAGTGCATCGATGCACCCTGAGTGCATCCATGCACTCCATTTCGAATGCAATTAGTGCATCGATGCACTCTGTTGTGCATCGATGCACCCTAGCTGCAACGGCTAGTAACAACTAGTTTATTTGAATTTAATGAAGGGGTATCGATGCACCTTAATGATGTACTGATTCACCCTGTAATGGGCAAACTTTTTGAGTAGAAAAATCATCCCCAAACGGTTCCAAAACATCCCCAACGGCTATATATGACTTCAAACACATTCCAAGCTATAAATACAAGCTAAGGACACTTGAAGAAGCAAGAGAACAACTATCCAAGCAATCAAACACAAGAAAATAATTTTTTATTCTTATTTCATCTTTCTCTTGTAAATATTTTGTTCTTGTGAGCTCAATCTTGTAAACACCTACCTTAGAGAGGTTTCCTTGTTTACGTTTTTTATCCTTTGTAAAGGGGAAAGGTTCTAGCTATGCCTGTGTAAAAGCTAGGGAAATGTTATAGTTTAACCCGTAAAAACCTAGGGAGTTGTAAATGTTATCTCTTTGTCCTTTAAAAAGAAAAGAACAAATTAGCGAATTTGTTGGAAAATTCTTGGTGAGGAGCTAAGATAGTGGATGTAGACTTGGTTGAGAAGTCGAACAACTATAAATCGCTGTGCAATTCTCTATCTTTCAATCTCCTTACTCCCTAAACACAAAAACCGTTTCGACCCCTCTTTGCAAACCGTTCCGGTTGTCGATTCGAGCTTCTGAAAATCCCAACACAATCACAAAGACAATAAGTAGATATTACACACTCTAATCTGACTCTTGATACCAATTGTTGAGGAATACGGCTATCGGATAGAGCAAAATCATAACTGATAATTTGAGAAAATAAAAATGAAGATAAAGAAGACACAAATTTTACATGGAAAGCCCCTAAATAATATATGGTAAAAACCATGGGCAATAGTAGAATAATTTCACTATGAGAAAATAGGAATTACAATTTCTCTCGATCTAACAAGGAGAAAATAATAACAATTCTCTCTTGATAAAAAGGAAAAAACAACTCTCAAGAAAACTCTATAAATTCTCTAGTATTGGGAGAAAACTAGAATGATTTGAGATGATTTTTGAAGCAAAATGGGTTAGGATATTTATAGTTGAAACTTAAGGACTAATCTTATAAATATTCTAAAATACAGGAACTAAATTTGAGATTTTAGTATTTCCAATTTTCAACAATTTCGATGCCAATTGTCAATCATTTGCATCGAAAGTAATTTCCATAGAAAGTTTAACAACTTTTGCTTGACTTTTCAACACTCTTGGCCCTTTACGTGACCACACGCTTCATCCTCAAGTTGAAAATCTTAATCTCGGTTTCAACAGTTTACTTGATATTAACAGAAGATGGGATATTGAAGCTCTTGGCACCCTGTTTCCCAGCTAATATCATCTCACATATCCTCGGCATTGTTCCCCATCTAATGATGGCGATGAGAACCGCTGTGTGTGGAAATGGGACGCTATCTATAAATTTCGGATCAGCACTGCCTATAACCTTTTGATAGGTGCTACCTGGGAGAATATTGATCCTTTATGGAAGAGAATTTGGAACCTTCGAATTCCTCAGCGGATCCGTGTTTTCCTGTGGATTACCCTTCGGAACTGTCTCATGACAAACCTTGAGCGTGTTCGTCGTGGACTGGCTTCAAATTCGCTGTGCCCTCTCTGCAACGCCCATCCAGAGTCAACTATCCATGTCCTTCGGGACTGTCAAATAGTTTCAACCTTCTGGAGGCAAAAGTTGTTGTCCTCACATGTTCAGTCGTTCTTCTCGTGGGATCTCCCTGACTGGATTCAATTCAACCTCGGATCCAAGGAGATGGTCCCAAACATGACACTCTCGTGGGGCTCAATTTTCCCTTCCTCTTATGGTACATATGGAAACACAGGAACTCCTTTTTGTTTTTTGATCATTGTTTACAGATTGAGGATGTTCTCTGCCAGAGCCTCGCCTGGACTGCTCATATTACTGCCACCAATCCAAGCTCGGATGCTCCCTCAGCCCGATGTTCCACTGCCATCATGTGGACTCCGCCTCCTATAACGTGGGTGTGCTTGAACACGGATGCCATAGTGGGTGCAAACACTGGACTTAGTTGTGCAGGAGGAGTAATCCGTAACAGGGAAGGTGGCTGGCTTACCGGTTTCAACAAACTAATTGGCATAGTTTCGCCCACTCATGCTGAGCTTTGGGCAATCTATTATGGACTCCAAGTAGCCTGGGATCATGGCTTCGAATCTCTTAAGATTCAATCGAACAATCTGCAAGAAGTCCACCTCCTTAATGATCCTGCTGCTGCAAATGCTGACCTCCCGATCGTCCAAGCCATTTCTTCGCTTCGAAATTGCTGTTGGATGATTGAGCTTATCTGGATCCACTGTGAAGGCAACCTGGTTGCTGACAGTATAGCGAAGATGACACCCGCCGTGAACTACATGCTTCAAGTTTTCCCTGAAGCCCCCACTGCCATCGTGTACTTTCTGGAGGTCCCCCATACACCAAGTCTCGTGCAGAAGTACAAGGCTTTAGGCTTCTTTTCAATTAAAAAAAAGCTTACCTTTTTTTAATAAAATTATTAAACCACTTACTACCCACATTTACTGGATCGAAGACAACTGCGTTTAGTGAACTCGAATCTATAACATTTTAGATTGTTATAAAAAATAATAATATTTTTATTTAAATTAGGTTTAATATAAAAATAAGTGTCCGAACTATATCTTAAGTTGACTTTAGGCGTCTAAATAATTTTTCGTTAAAAATAAGTGTCTAATGTTTTCTTCATTACACTTTTAGGTATATACGCAATAATAATTGTTAAAAAACCGTTAAATAATACATGTCATGTATATATTTTGGCTTAATACAAAAATAAGTGTCTAAACTATACCCTAAGTTAACTTTATATGCCTAAAGAGTTTTTCGCTAAGAATGTGTGTCTAAAGAATTTTTCGATAAGAATACGTGTCTAACGTTTTCGACGTTACATTTTAGGTACCTAGATTGTAACGATAGTTAAATTCAATTATTTTCTAACCCATATCACATTTATTTATATATTTTTTAAAAAATTATTTTAAAAAATAAAATATTATTTAAAAATATTTTTTAATGAAAAAAATTCTTTCCTCCCGCCTGCGCAACCCCCTCGACTGCACAAAATATTTCCCTCCTCCCCAATTGTATTCAAAACCCCCTATATTATCTCATAAATCCCTAAAGTTAATCCTAGGATGAGAATGGTAAATTTAAAATTGGGAATTTGGGTATTAGTTTTAGGGATTTAAATTTGGATGTGTGGGTTTAGAGGAATTAGGATGATAATAAGAGGGATGGTCAGTAGTGGAGGTTGAATGAATAGTAAGTGGTCATTCGATGATGCTCGAAGACAACTAATAATAGGTTAAAATAAGAGATTTTAAGGTTGTAGGTTTTTTGTAATTTTAGAGAAATTTATTTTTTTTTCAAAAAAAAATATAATCATAACACGTGTCACTTAATGGTTTTTTAATGATCATTACTGCGTAGACATATAAAAGTGTAACGTCAGAAACATTAGACACGTTTTTAACAAAAAATTCTTTAGGCCCCTCAAGTTAACTTAGAGTATAGTTTGGACACTTTTTTACATTAAGTCAAAATATAAACATGACACATATCACTTAACGGTCTTTTTTAATAGTCGTTATTGGGTAGGTACCTAAAAGTATAACGTCAAAAATGTTAGACACCTAAAAGTGTAACATCAAAATGTTATACCCCTAAAAGTGTAATATCAAAAATGTTAGACACCTAAAAGTGTAACATCAAAAATGTTAAACACTTATTTTTTACGAAATATTCTTTAAATATCTAAAATGAACTTAGAATATAATTTAGACACATTTTTGTATTAATCCTTTGAATTATTTTTAAATTCAAATACCAATTGGTATAATAGATACTAACATTCAGGCTGTAGATTAAAAGTGATGGTGATATTTTGTAATAAAAGTTTGTTATAGTGGCAGATCCTTTCGTATATTTGATTGGCACATTACCAGTTATGTTACAAGCCCAAGCAAAGATGGCAATTGTATGAAGTGGCCAGAAATAACAAAATCGTTTAGCATTCAATTTCAACATTACATATTCAACATTGGAGTTATGGAGTATAAGCGCATGAGACTAAAATCATATTTCCTTTCTCACAACCACTGGAGATTGGGTTCGACGGGAAAATGAAGGACGAACAACCCAGAATTCTATTGAAAATTCCAATCCCAGATAAAGTACAACAACAACGATTACAGGCAAATGATGATAATTCATGTGTTAAACAGCGACAGCAGGCCGGAGGAAAATGATTGCTTTCTTAATCCTCTCAAAAGCAGCTTGTAAGGTTGTGTGGGATGCTGCATATGATATCCGAATGCAGCTATCGTCCCCAAAAGCATCTCCAGGGACTAGTGCAACCTGTCCATCATTACAAGCAGTCTTTAATATTTTGATCTTCCATATTCATCAGTGGATTCGATCACTTCCATAAATATCAACATAACACACCCTAGCACTTCCTAGTCTCTCTAAATAGAAGAGCTTTGAAACAGCATTCAATGACGCGTACCTGAGCATTGTCCAGGAAGTAACGACAAAGTGATTCTGAATTTTCAATTTTACCGAAACCTTCAGCTTCTACTCCGTAGTAAGAACTGAAATCAATGAAGAGATAGAAAGCTCCCTGCAGCCAAAAGGAAGTGCAAGCAAGTAGGTTAAACGAAGATCTAAAATCTTGAGAAATTGAAGAAACTTGGACATGCATGCACCAATTTATCTAGCAAGATGAGGGGCTAGGTCCTTAAGTAAAGTCAAGAGTTTGAATCATGGCATTGTGAATAGAGCAAATTGAGTTGGGAGGGTCACCCCATAATGAGTCTTTATAGTACTCGATTCGGATTAGTGGCCAATGGGTTAAATACCGGTGGTTATATCAAAAATAAAAATATGGTTTGTCCAATAAGAGATTCTGCGACCAATATGAGGTACCTGAGGTTCTGATATCTTAACACCTTCCAGTTCCCCAAAGCTTTTAACCAAGAAATCTCGCCGTTCCCTGAATGCTTTCACCATGGTGGAAATTGCTTCCCCACCAGCATAGCCCAAACCTAATGCGGCAACTCCAGCTTTTTGTGCTATACTGCTGGCTCCTGAAGTGGACTGAAATATATATACCAAATTTAGGTTTAGATTTCTGTATATAAACTTAAACTACCAAAGCTACAGATTTAACTAGTACATTAATCTCTGAATATGCATAACATACATAAGTGCATTATTGCCACTAATTGACATATTGGTACTCCGCCCCCTTATATTGTACCATGAGATCAGCAAAAAGAGTCCTCAATGTATCAGTTTCAATTGGTTAGTCATCTACAGCCGCTTACTCTGAATTACTCTTCATAAACATTCACAAACCAGGATAAGCAAAATGTGGTCATTATGTTAATGACACAAGTTCCGATTTTCAGCAAACAAAAGGAATTTTAGTTTTTCAAGCACAGTCCAACTATCTTATTCCCATGAAATCCCAGGACGTTTCTAACCCCCACCTCCCACCCTAATCTGGCTCAAATTTTCTCTTCATTCATTGCTTTATGGCTCAAAATTATATATTTCAAAACATGATAATACTTTGCTAACATTTGGTCAACAGATGGTTCAGTATTTTATTGAATCCTACAATCACAATTACATGCAAGTTCATCCAATTGCAGCATCAACCCTCAAGCAAAATACGGTGCATCAAACTTGTCATGTATGAATAAATGTGCACAATGTTCTAAACTGTTGCAATGAGTCTCACCAGCAAATCCACAAAATCCTATATTGTTCATTTTAAAGAACCACATTAACTGCTACATAGCGTGAACTTTAAGTACAAAGAGAATGAATCAAACTAAAGGGTATGTGAGTAAACTTTGGTTCAAAACTCTAGAGCAGCTTGGAGTAGTATTAAAGGTATGAACACTGAACAAACTTGAACAAGTATTGGAGTTAGGATGTTCAAAAGATGCTAACTCGAGATGACTAAGAAAGTACCGCAAAACATTTTAAACCTAAAGTGCACGTCATGTTCTAAGATATACAGTGAGCCTTACCAAGGAAATTAACTATATCCCAAATTGTCCGTTCTTGTAGACAACATTGAAACTAACCACGATATTTAACTTTCAGAATGATGTAGAATTGATTTAGGAAAGATTTAGATTAAACCTTTCCAGAACAGTAGAAATACCACAAGTACTAATGTTGACTAGCTTGTCTAAAATAGGTGTTTCAAAGAAGGATGCTGAGAAATGACAAAAAAAATCTCAAACAAGGTATAAGCCCCAACAAAGAACGTTAGTCCAAGCTAATTCAGATACTTGACCAGAATATTTCAAAGATTAGTACTGGCCAAGGTAGTCAGTACCAATGGACATACTGTTTTTTCTCTAGTACTGGTACATACCACTACCAGTGTGTTCCGTTGTACCTTTTCGAGTTTATCAGTATGCTTTCAATATTGTTCATATGTAATATATACATGCAAATATACCTCAATTAGATACATATAAATATATTTATATGAAATATATATTTTAAAATTACTAATTCAGTTCAATAACTTAATTAAATAATTATATTTGATTTAAAATAAATGTAATTATAAAAATAGAAATAGTTAAGAGAATAAATTAAATCTTGTACTACTCGGTAGAGTTTGTTGGTACACCATTACAACCCGGTATTGACCAAAATGGACCAAACACACTGAAATTTTGTGAAGGAACTTAAACTACTTGGAACCAGTTTAAGAATGGAACGGCCGGTACTGTACCAACTACCATGCTGGTAGCCGGCCGCATCTGGTCCCCAATATACCACACAGCCAATCCAAGAAAAAAGTGCCAAATCTTCTGATCATTCCCCATATCAGACTAGCAGCAAATTCCAATTGATCTCCAATGAAGTATTATAGGCAAAGTCCATAGCATTGCTGCACCAGTGCATGCAGGACACAGTTTTCTTGGACAAAAATGAAAATGGTAACTAAATGCAACATACCTGACTCTGGATTTTATTACATGCCGCAACAAAGTGCTTAGGTCCGGCAATGTATCCAAGTCGCCAACCAGTCATTGCAAAAGCCTACAAATATCATCTTCAAAATGTCAATCCTCAAAATGACCACCACTAAAAGAACTATACCAATGTTGAGCATGGAAAATCCATCAATTGTGTAGAGAAGACTACTTAAACAAGGTTTAAATGCAATTGAGTTACCTTGGAAAAGCCATTGACTGTTAGAGTCCGCTCCCACATACCTGGCAATGATGCAAAACTTGTGTGAGTTGCTGGTGCGTAAATTATATGTTCGTATGTTTCATCAGATAGCACCTGAATAAGTCAATAACAAAAGTCTCAGTGTTGGAGCATCAGCATAGTATATTTCTGAGATTTCAGGTTATGTAATAAGACCAGAAGCCTTGGATGCTTAGCTACAATTTCTGCAATTTTTTCAAGCAGTTTCTTAGGGTAAACAGATCCAGTTGGATTAGATGGAGAGCATAGAATCAGCAATCTTGTCTTTTCAGTGATTTTAGACTCAAGGAGCTCTGGATCCAATAGAAAATCATCAGAGATAAGTGTGGGAAGAATAACAGGTGCTGCATCAGCCAGCCTTGCCATTTCCGGGTAACTCACCCAATATGGAGCAGGAATTATTACCTGAAATAAATTATGTAGTCATAATCAAGCCACCTCTCATAACTTTACTTACTGGAAGCATGACGTTGAGTACCTAATTAATGCTACTAACAGATAATACATTTGGAAGGAAGATCTAACAACATGAACAGGAAATAACCATTCTACCATGCAGGAAAATATTGTATAATATTTACAAACTTATATTATGTTCTAATTTATAGGTTATTTTAATTCATTTGGTTTTCTATCCCCACTTTCTTGACAAAGCTAGGCTAATACTTGATCTATTTTATGCCGAGCATTTCAAATCCATATGGTATTCTCATTACCTAAATTTGTACCCTGGCAACTGGAAGTTAAATATGTATGGTGTAACTGAAATTCAGTCTATAACTACCACTACAAGGTAGCATATAAAAAAATCTCTTGTTTGAGACCAGATACTGTAATCAACTCAACAGATAATCACACACAACCACATGTTATTGTAAAAGAAAACTGTAGTTTTAACAAAGGTTGAGTTTGGGAACATGAGCTCATTGGGTATTTGAATTTGATTAATTCTGCAAATAGCTGATGGGTGCATTAAATATACAAAAAAGTAAATAAGTTCTCAAGTAGAAGAAGGCACCTTTGATATTCTTAGACGGGTATAGTTTTTAGACTCACCTCAATATGCAATCAGAAACAATGGTATTTGAATGTAAACTTTTCTTACATAATAAAAACTAATTCATGAAATTTGTGTCCACATTTTATTCTTGTTTTGATAGAATAATCAATCAATGGAAAGGGTTCCATAATCCAAAGAATATTCACTAAATTCAAAGGTAAACATGCCATCACTAGAAAGTCTCCAGTTCTAGGAACTTAAGTGATTTGTTCAAAGATATAGGAAGGAAGAAAGACAACGTGTAGCATTGGGTGAAGAAAGGAAATGCATCTGCAACAACATGTTCACGACTAGGTCAAAAAAGGGTGGGGAGGATTTCTTAAAGCATATTCTTAGCATGCTCTATGGTAAAGATTGTCAAATAGAAAAACTATACCTCATCCTCGGGAGAACAAACAGCAAGAACTGCTTGAAGGATACTCTGTTTAGCACTATTACTGACAACAATTTGATCAGGCGTATAAGAGACTCCATTCTCCTCTGCAACAATTTAAAGGAAATACGTAAAATGAACTAGAAAAACATGATCAAACATGCCTCATCCTACTCCAAAGGTAAACATGCATCAAATTTACACTTTTCTATATCAGAAAAGCACTGGCATTAAATATACACTTACCTTTTAGCTTATGACAGATTGCAGTACGAAGTTCCAAAGTACCAGCATTGGGTGTGTACCTTGTGTAACCTTCACGAATAGCATTTATCCCAGCCTTATTTTTCCAGAAACAACAGAAGTACACTAAATTAAATTACAAGTTATGGGAAGAACAGAGTCTAAACTAAAAGATGCCACACAACTTAAACAGAGAAAACAACAAGAAGGACCCAAAATGAACAAGAAAAAGAAAAGAACCTCCACTATAATGGTAGGCGTATCAAAATCAGGCTCTCCGGCAGCCAATCGAATAACAGGGACACCAGCTTGTGCAAGAGCAGTTGCATGATCAGCTATAGCCACTGTCTTTGAAGGTTTCACAGAGTTAACCCTGGGGCTCAAAGAGATATCAACTTTCACTTGATCAGAGCTGCTACTCTCTGCCTTGGACATTGCATTTATTTTAGATGACTGTTGCTCAGAAGCCCCAATCAATCTGCCAAGAAGTACATATAACTAACAATGAAATTCTCCAGTATATCTAGCCCTTCCACCCCTTGGGGGATAATAAGAATTTTGAGACAACTTGTCTGCAATTTTAACACAAATGAGAAAATGCTTGCACTATATTTATTTTAATCTTTAAGTTGATAGATATCATTGCTTGTGATAGTGTCACAACAAAAGTAAGTTTCTTAAACTAAAATAGCTCTACAACTTCAATGAATCAGCTTAAGGAATGAAGTAACTAAGAGTAACGATGTTTTTCTTTACACTGCCATAAAAGAGACAATACTAAATGAAATCACTTCCAATTTGTCCGTACATAATGTCAACCTACTCGTTTAACTCTGATCTGAACTCTCCTATCGCAGAGAATGAATCTTATATTCATTTCCAGCTGCAACTCAAAAGGATTGAAAAAGATGCCTGTAGACACTAATTTCCGTCCATTTTTTTTTATTTTATACATATATACACATATATATTATATAGTTTGCAAATTGTGATTGAAAATACATATATAATATATAGTTTAAAACATTTTTTGAAAATATGTATATTATATAGTTTTTAAAATATTTTTGAAAATTATATAATATATAGTTTTTGAAAACGTTTTTAAAATATATATAATGTATACTTTTGAAAACGTTATGAAAACATTTATATAATATATAATTTTTTAAAAACCATTTTGAAAATATATTTTTTTGAAAATATATAATACATAGTTTTGAAAACGTTTTTAAAATATATAATAGATACTTTTGAAAACATTATAAAAACATTTATATATATAATTTTTAAAAATCATTTTGAAAATATATATAATATAGTTTTTAAAAACATTTTAAAAAATTTATATATTATATGTTTTTGAAAACGTTATATATATATTATTATTATTATCATTTATTATTATTTTTTATCACTTATTTTTTTTTTTTTTCCCATGTCAGGTCCAAATGGGTCAACTGTCCAATCCAACAAGTCACGGTCAGAGTCCAAACACAGATGGGCCTGATCCAGTATGGTAAGTTTAGGGTTTGGAAACCCTGAATGATATCAGTTTCAACGGCGCCGCAAAACCGGGGAGATGAACGGTCAACAGTGCCAACAACCGGCCGAAATCCCCGGGACTGACCCATCCCGGGGTGACCGGCCACAACGGCCACGAGCACCCTTATTTCGGAACCGACAGGCCTCCGATGGGGGGGTATAAATACCCCCACCAAGCCTGTCACAGGGGAGGAGAGGATCATCGGTACCACAACAGATCATCCACAGAAAACCAGAATCATTAAACCACATGACCAGCACGGTCAAAAACATCAACCATCACTGAACTCACGAGAGAACCAACAAGCATAGTAACAAAACAAGACTCCATCGAGTCAACAGCACATAAAAAACCTGAAAACAACCCAAAATAACCAAACACAAAACCAACCAAACCCAAGTCATACACACAACAGCCATCACACAAACGACACCATCAAATCGACCAACAACAAGGTCGAAACAACCAAATACACAAAGCCGAAGTACCAACCAAAGGCCTCGGAGAAGCTATCGGAAAACCAGAAGGCGTAGGTTTTAAGGTAAAAAAAAAAAAAAAAAAACCCGAACTTTAGGCGTAGATCTACGCCGTTTGGGGTCCCTTTAGGGGAAACAAGCTTCGGATCGGGGTTTAGAGTGACAGGCGAGTGTTTCGGGCTAAATGGTTTTTTTCGGCCACCGCCGGCGGTGGCCGGCATGGTGGCCGGTGCGACGGGGAGACCACCGGAGCTGTGGCCTGATATCTCCCATTTGAGAGAGTTTGAGAGACGAGAGAGAGCGCAGAGAGAGAGCGCAGAGAGACCAAATGAGAGAAATGAAGAAATAGAACCCTATTTTCGGCTTTAAATACGAAATTCAAAACGGCGTCGTTTTACTAAGGATTGATCTGCAATAGAAGATTTTTAATCCTCTCCGCAGTCCCTGGTATTTTGGATCGGTTTTCATTTTGGTCACTATTGTAATTTTGACCCCGAATTTGCAATTTAATCAATTTGGTCCCTATTTATATTTTTTATATTCTGTGAATTGGTCCCCTAACTTTTTATTTGTTCTTTTGCAGTTCATTTTCTAATTCATTAAGCTCAATTTGTTCCAATTTGATCCTAAATTTTATCTTTATTTTTTATTTTACTTTTTAAATATTTTTTTAAATTTAACCTTTTATTATTATTTATTATTTCTTTCTTTCATTATTATTATTTTTTATATTTTTTTATTTATTAGCATTGTTTTCGCTTTTATCTAACGTATTTTGTTTCAGTCATGATTTCAGCCGATCAAATGGTAGTAATTCGGATCGAATGAATTTAATTTTAATTTAAATTAATTTTCGCAATTAAAGACAACCGACAAATTATTGGTACCGAAAGGGCGGTTCAAGGGTCTAATCCTTCCTTGACCGTAACCGACTCCCGAACCCGACGTTTCTGGTACGACGCAGATCAGGTAAATGGTATCCGGCCCACCTAAATTCGTTTTAAAGTGGTCGGTGGCGACTCCAATTCATTTAATCCAAGTCGAAGCCCAATTCCGGGGCACAACCGAAAGACGGTTCCGACAGCTTGGCGACTCCGCTGGGGACAGGTAAGTGAGTCAGGCCAGAATTAATTTCTGGTTGTCTTTTTATGCGAAAATTGTAAATTTAAATTTTAATTTATTTATTCAGTTCCGATTATTTACCTTTGATTCTTTTTCAAATAAATAGTTGTACTAATATTTTTTCAATGATTTCAGATTTTTGAAAAGTTTCTATCTCAGGCTCTATACCCGAGCTCCGAACCCTTTTAAGTGGGGGCGAAAGCGACGCCTTCGTGTGAATTTATTCTCCGTATGGGCCTAGCAAGTAACCTTCGGGATTCATATACCTTATGCCTTCGTGTGAATTTATTCTCCGTATGGGCATAAGGGAATGTTTCCTCTCGAGTTTAACTTAGTCCACACAAGCCTGTGATGGGTTTAGGACTAAGGGTCTGGCAAGCCCAAGGGGGCACCAGCAAGGAGAACTCGAGTACCTTTTTAGAACCTAAACCGGGAGAGTACAGGGAATTAGAGCCCACCCCGAAACCTCATTCCAAACCCTAGGCTGTTTTATTTCCTGCTTTATTTTCTGTTCAAAGCATGCGAACTAGACAAATGCGGCTAGGATTTGTTTGAAATTAGCATGCGGGATAGAAATCATGTCTGTGTAGGAATATTAAGCATGTTAGGGTGATATCATGTGGGGTAGGATTTTTTTCATTTATTATTGTTTGATTTACCTCACCTCTTTTATTTTTTGTCTTCTTTATTATGTTTTATCACTCGCATCATTTAAAACGGGGTGTTGATCCACCAAAAATGTGTTTGTTAACGTAAATAATCTGCATTAATAGGCAAAGGGTTATAATACAAGAGATAAAAGCTCAGAAGTCCAACCGTGATCAAAGAATACTCAAAGGCAAAGTTGCAGGGGCAATACGAGGAAAAGGTCACTGACTCGGTCGCTCATTTCGAAAATACAAGAACAAGATAGTGAAATACTAGCTGAGCTAGATGCCATTACTGATGAATTCAAGAAGCAAGCTTTGGATAGTTTCTCTCGATGGAGGGCTCCAATGACACTTTCGTTAGAAACAAGCTCGGTAGAAAGTGAAAGTCGAAGATGCAGTCCTTCGAGATCTTTTTTGGGGCAAGCATCTCATTATTTGCACATTTTAGCCAAAGGAGCCGGAATGGTTCGACAGGATATTCAACTAGTGGAAAAGACGAATCAACTTGTCAGAAGCTGTACAGGATTCGTACCATCAAAAAGAGTTTTTTGTCTCTTCAGACGTAACACTTTTGTCACCAATAAGGGTTATTCAGAATAACAGGCACATTTTTGGATCAATGTCGAACATTCATGCATCATATTTAGACATTTTACATTTTTTATTTTCTTTGCATCTTATTATTTTCTCTCATTCACATTAACTAACATAAACATGTCTCATCAAAGGAGCAAATACTGGATACACCGCCTCAAGTATTGGACACACCCCATCCACATAACACTCGTTTGAAGAAGAAGAGGATGGAAGCCAGAATTACACAAATCGAGGAGAATATGTTAAAACTACAGAAAGAGCTAGAAGACAAGATAAGCCAGAACAGTCGAAATACTCTAGAAAAACAATCACAAAGAACCAAGAGTCCTTGGTTGATCAGATCGTTGCCAAGTTAATTGGCCTACAACAGACCAGTGTGCCTGGGGCAGGTTCATCGGAAGGGGTAACTATACAACCTACCCCACGAGTGGTTATCTCACCTGAAATCTTACCAGAACTTCGAGGGGACTCATCTGCTGCAAAAGCAAAGCCCTCGTCCTCTGTATTTAACCCTAAGAACAATCCGGGTTATTATCATACCGGATTTGGACGAAGAGGAAAAGCGAGGAAGATGGAAGAAAAATCAAACAATTGGAGGACCAAATGAATATAGTCAAAGGAGACCGTGACTACCATGAAATCGATGCAACAGAACTTAGTCTAGTCCCGGACTTGGTTCTTCCCCCGAAATTTAAGTCCCCGGAGTTCGAGAAGTTTGACGGGAACAGTTGCCCATCCGCTCACATCACCATGTTTTGCCGAAAGATGACAGGATATGGAGGAAATGACCAACTCCTGATCCACTGTTTTCAGGATAGTCTGTCGGGTTCAGCCATTCGGTGGTACAACCAGCTAAGCCGATCAAATATCAAGACCTGGAAGGACCTGGCAAAGTCATTTCTGGAACAATACAAGCATAACAATGACATAAGGCCAGATCGAGTTATGCTACAAAACATGGAAAAGAAGCATAACGAGAGTTTCAGGCAGTACGCACAAAAATGGAGGACTTGGCTGTGCAAGTTCATCCACCGTTAGATGAAAAGGAAACCCGGAAATTTTCGTGCAGACTCTGAAGGCTCCATACTTCGGGCATTTGGTGGCGATCACATCAGAAGCTTTTCAGACTTGGTTATGGCCGGAGAAATGATTGAGTCGGCCATAAAGCAAGGCAAGATTAAGGATGGGGAAGCCAGTAAAAGCCTCCTATGAGGGAGAGGGATGGAGAGGTTAACAACATCAAACCACTCCAGCAAAGGTGTTACAATCTCCAGCCCAAAATCAACTGCAGCTGTACCGTTAGGTACTTCTAAACAAGATTCCAGGAGGGAAAGGGAACATTTCGACCCAATTCCCATACCTACAAAGAGCTTTACCAGCAACTCTTGACACCCATGTGGTGTCACCATATCCAAGAACCCATGAAGCCCCCATACCCCAAATGGTATGACGAGAATGCGTATTGTGAATATCACGGCGGAGTCCCAGGGCACACAATTGAGAACTGTTACGCATTTAAGAGGGTCGTACAAAAGATGCGTAACCAGAACTGGATCGACTTCAACAACTTGGGGGCATCCAAGTGATCATTTGAGGCATTCTGTTTGACTTTGTTTTTCTTCCATTTTTTCTCAAAGTTCTTGTAAGAACATTTTAATCAATTTATGTTACTTTAAAAGATGTCAAGCAATGGATCATATTTGCAAATTTGTATTCTTTGAATATCATTTGAGTTAAGAACTCTGTAAACGGTTCAAAGTTACGAATCTTTGACAAAGTAACATGATTTAAAACAAGGACTTTGACCTTATCCAAATATACCCTCAAACACCATACCCTCCTCTTGTAATTAACCAATATACCCTTTTCCTTTCATAAGGTGCGGACAACACGGGGCATCATTTGCATATGACAATTACTATGTTTTTTAAAGACGTTCAATGACGATGATGATCTTTCAAATGAAAGAGTCGAGTAGGTGAATCCAGTTTAGGTCATTTGCTTGAAAATTGAACTATAAAGATGAGATTCCTTGACTTTCAAAAACACTAGGCTATAACAGGTTCTTCTTGACAATCTTAGGAAATTAAATCCGTAAAACTGAGCTATTCCGCTAAGGCAATTGGTTATAGAGGAAACTTGAAAGCCCTGGCCTTATGAGTAGATTACGTTCAAACCATGACATTGCTCGGACACTTGGCAATTCGGTGTTTGCTCACTGCTCTGTCAGGCTGAAGACTCCGTGATGAGATGAACCTTTCAGTTAACTTGATAACTGTGATTATAATATTAAGTTGTCCCTCTAAGCAATTGGTTAAAAGCCCCGGCTTTATGGATTCAGCTAGTCAGATAATGCCAATTAAATCAAATTTATCTAAGCAAGATATTTCGGTAAAATGGACTAAGGGAGTTAAGGAAACACCTGTTATAGTTGACTACACACAAGCACTCTAGAATTTCATTTTTAGACCGTATTTTTTCGCGCTGCCTTTGTTGGAAGAGCCTACAAAGCTTAAACAAATGAAAGATTTCAGAGGACTGAGATAAAAGGTCTAGTAATTGATAAAGTGCCAAAGCATGTTGCGATATTTAAAAAAGAATGACATTTTTTACCAAAAAAAAACCTTAGAAAGGAGGCCAACCTAAAGCCGACTCGTCCCTTTGAACATTTGTCAAAGATTTGTAACTCTGAAAGCATTAAAAGAGCTCTTGATTCCTTTGATATTTTTGAACTCACATTTGCAATTTGATTCAGGTACGAACAATACTTTACAACATTTTATCATTTCTCTCTCCTGAAACAAGAAAAAGGAGAAAAAACGTTTTCAAACGGAATAATCTCAGATATGAAATGTCTGTAAAGCCAAGCTCGAGAAGCAAATGGGGCACGATCGATTCCATGGACCTGATTGACAGACAAAGCACGAGACTCCATCCAAGAAATAACACATAATTTATTCATGTTGCATGCATCTTAGACATACTTAGGTGCATCACATCCATTTTAGCATGCATAATTTTGCAGCTTTCAGAGTCAAGCTTCGACTTCAGGATGAAGGCTACTCGACTTGCAAGCACCTTTAAAGAACGATGGTGTAACTCAGCAGCAAGAAGCTACACCTCAACCGACTTAACATATCTACGGATCTCAGAACCAATTTCAGATGGGTTCGAGAACCAATTCAGATCAAATTCAGTTCAGCTCAACTCAACAATGAGCAACATGTTTCCAGTTAACACTTTCAAGCCAGATTTCAATTCCACGACGGAAGATATCCGGCTGTCAGAATTATCAGTAGGTTTTCCCAGACCAGCTTAGGGGAACCACTTGAAGAATCATGACGTTTCGACCCGTAAAGGGAAGCCATTTTAAACAAACTATTTGCAGCTTAGCTCAAGGCCATAAGGGCTATCTGCCCACCAAGACCTTCGAGTTCGACTATGCTCAGCTTCGAGGGCACATCATTTGCAGCATAACTTAAGCGAGAAGGGTTATCTGCCAACCAAAGACCTTCGAGTTCGACTACGCTCAGCTCCAAGGCACATCATTTGCAGCATAGCTTAAGTCGAGAAGGGCTATCTGCCAAAGACCCCCAAGTTCGATTACACTCAGCTTCGAGGGCACATCATTTGCAGCATAACTTAAGTCGAGAAGGGTTATCTGCCAACCAAAGACCTTCGAGTTCGACTACGCTCAGCTCCAAGGCATATCATTTGCAATACAACTTAAGTCTAGAAGGGTTGTTTGCCAACAAAGACCTTTGAGTTCGACTACGCTCAGCTCAACGGCACATCATTTACAGCATACTCAAGGCTAGAAGGGTTATCTGTGACCAAAGACCTTCGAGTTCGACTCCGCTCAGCTCCAAGGCACATCAATTGCAGCATAGCTTAAGTCAAGAAGGGTTATCTGCCAAAGACTCACGAGTTCGATTACACTCAACTTCGAGGTCATATCATTTACAACATAACTCATGGCAAGAAAGGTTATTTGTCAATAAAATTGTCGAGTTCGACTCTATTCAGCTCGACGATACCTCAATCACTACTGTTCGGCTGCAATCAAGGTTTTCAAATCGAGAGAAGACATGGGTCAGCCGTGACTTAGTGACAGTCAATCGTTTTCCAGCAGCATAGTTTAAGTCGAGAAAACTATATGTCAGTGAAGACCTTTCGAGTTCGTTTCGTTCAGCTCAAGGGCATGGTGGAATCAAAGAACTACTTTCCAGTCAATTTTTAACCAAGGTCCTTAAACTGAGGAAAAGACCGAGGTTGACTACAATTGGGCAACAAGAAGTCGCATTCTGATTCAATTCCATATCATTTCAAGATTGACTTGACTTCACGACGGAGGGGTCATCCGCAGCTCAATCCGACAGGGGGTTTTTCTTCAACCCCACTGAACGAAAAATTGTGTCTTTTTATCTTTGTCCTATTTTTCGTTCCACGAAAAAGGACAAAGAGGGCAGCTGTAGACACTAATTTCGTCCATTTTTTTTTATTTTACATATATACACATATATATTATATAGTTTGCAAATTGTGATTGAAAATACATATATAATATAGTTTAAAACATTTTTGAAAATATGTATATTATATAGTTTTTAAAATATTTTTGAAAATTATATATATATAGTTTTTGAAAACGTTTTTAAAATATATATAATGTATACTTTGAAAACGTTATGAAACATTTATATATATATAATTTTTTAAAAACCATTTTGAAAATATATTTTTGAAAATTATATAATACATAGTTTTTGAAAACGTTTTAAAATATATAATAGATACTTTTGAAAACATTAAAAACATTTATAATATATAATTTTTAAAAATCATTTTGAAATATATATAATATATAGTTTTTTAAAAACATTTAAAAAATTTATATATTATATGTTTTGAAAACGTTTATATATATATTATTATATTTATCATTATTTATTATTATTTTATCACTTATTTATTTTATTTTTTCCCATGTCAGGTCCAAATGGGTCAACTGTCCAATCCAACAAGTCACGGTCAGATCCAAACACAGATGGGCTGATCCAGTATATAATGTATAGGTAGTTGTAAAGTATCTATCATTTTTATAAAAGTGTCCATACTTTTTTCACTGTGGAAAACATTAATTTAAGGTTATCTTTTGAGTGAGTTTTAAGATATTAATTTAGTAATTATAGGCGTCTAATGATTTATTTTTTACGTTACGATATATATTATATTAAATTAAAAACAATAAACATATATCATTTTATTATCTTTGGTTAATATTGTTAAATTTAAATTCTAAATATTATTTTATAAAAGATCAAAACAATCAAAATAATTTTGTGTAAATGAAATATTAAATTAATATTGTAGGTGGAAAAACATGAAACACTATTAAAAAAATTGAAACATAAATTAAATAACTTTAAAAAAGTATCGATCTTTTTTTTATAAAAATATGGACACTTTCAATATAATAGGTAAAAATATAATAGGTAGCGTTTATATAATGTAATATGTATCGTTATATAATGTAATAGGTAGTTGTAAAGTATCTATCCTTTTATAAAAGTGTCCATACTTTTTTCACTGTGGAAACATTAATTTAAGGTTATCTTTTGAGTGAGTTTAAGATATTAATTTAGTAATTATAGGCGTCTAATGATTTATTTTTACGTTACAATATATTATTATTAAATTAAAAACAATAAACATGTATTACATATTATTATATCTTTGGTTAATATTATTAAATTTAAATTCTAAATATTATTTTATAAAATATCAAAACATCAAATAATTTTTTGTGTAAATAAAATTATTAATATTGTAGGTGGAAAACATGAAACATTATTAAAAAAAATTGAAACATAAATTACATAACTTTAAAAAAGTATCGATCATTTTTATAAAAAGTATGAACACTTTCAATATAATAGGTAAAAATATGATGTAATAGGTAGCGCTTATATAATGTAGGTATCGTTTATAATGTAATAGGTAGTTGTAAAGTATCTATCCTTTTTATAAAAGTGTCCATACTTTTTTCACTGTAGAAAACATTAATTCAAGGTTCTTTTGAGTGAGTTTAATATATTAATTTAGTAATTATAGGCGTCTAATGATTTATTTTTACGTTACGATATATATTATTATTAAATAAAACAATAAACATATATATTACATATTTATTATTATCTTTGGTTAATATGTTAAATTTAAATTCTAAATATTATTATAAAAGATCAAAACAATCAAATAATTTTTGTGTAAATGAAATTATTAAATTAATATTGTAGGTGGAAAACATGAAACACTATTAAAAAAATTGAAACATAATTACATAACTTTAAAAAAAGTATCGATCCTTTTTATAAAAAGTATGGATACTTTCAATATAATAGGTAAAAATATGATGTAATAGGTAGCCTTATATAATGTAATAGGTATCGTTTATATAATGTAATAGGTAGTTGTAAAGTATCTATCCTTTTTATAAAAGTGTCCATACTTTTTCACTGTGGAAACATTAATTTAAGGTTATCTTTTGAGTGAGTTTTAAGATATTAATTTAGTAATTATAGGCGTCTAATGATTTATTTTTTACGTTACGATATATTATTATTAAATTAAAACAATAACATATATTACATATTATTATTATCTTTGGGTTAATATTGTTAAATTTAAATTCTAAATATTATTTTATAAAATATCAAAACAATTAAATAATTTTTTGTGCAAATGAAATTATTAAATAATATTGTAGGTGGAAAACATGAAACACTATTAAAAAAAATGAAACATAAATTACATAACTTTAAAAAAATTATCGATCCTTTTTATAAAAAGTATGGACACTTTCAACATTATAATGTAATAGGTAATTTGCAATGTTATAGGTATAAATATACCGATTTACTTATAAAATAGGTAAATATAAGCCTACTATTACATTATATAAGCGCTACCTAGTATGTTATTGTACTTTATATTTTCGGGTAAATAATATAACATAACCGGTCTAAATTTTAACCGGTCACTTGTTTAACCGGTCACGCCTTATTAGCCATTTTTTAGGCGCCGCACCGCAGAACTACCCGCTTTATGTTGGTTCTTGGGGCGCTAGGATGTTAGTTTATACAAGTTGTTGCCTAAAAATAGCAATATAAATCACTAATCAGGGGAACTTTGGAGTACTTAGTCAAATATTTTAATTAATTAATCATAAACTTTAATATTTAGATCCATTTAAATTTTATGTTAGGGATAATTATATTTAGATTCCAGTTACGAGTTCACATTTATATTAAAACAAACAAACAAAATACTAAAGATTATTTATACTTTGTTCAAGTTTTATGTTTTGATGGAGTGGATTAATCCAATACAAGGGAGTCAAAGGTCACAGCCATGGAAAATCATTCAACTATTATAAAATTAGGGGGCAAGACTTAGTTTGTCTATCTTCAAAACAAAGTAAGAATCTAAAAAAATAATGGATAAAGTATACAAATGAAGCAGATGATGTAATAGAATCAAGCGAAGAATTTTTCATCTTAAGTGATTTCTTAGGTTAATATTTTGTTTTTACTAGTGAACAATGGTCAATTACATTACATTTCAATTGAATGTTTGTAAACTTTGTTTTATTCATATTTTTATATATTTTTATTTGAATGGAATCGTAATTACATTTGGGTAACACATTTAGATTGTTATTGGATATTGTTACAGGTTAAATTTAGGTAATACAGAGTAGGAGAAAAATATTTTTAAAATAAGTTGTCATTAGCGGCGTTTTAGGATTAAAAATGTCACTAAAGGAATACATAAATTCACGACGTTTGTGCATAGAAAACGCCGCTACAGATCATGACATTTTGCGGCGTTTGAATGCAAACGCCGTTAAAGATCAGATTTTTGTGGCGTTTTTTCTTCATAAAACACCGTTAACACTTGCAGCGTTCGTTTAGCCAACACTTATGGCAGTTTTTTTCTCGTTAGGAGTGTTTTTTGCGGCATTTTAAAACGCCACTATAGGACTAAAAACGTCACTATAGACCTATTCTGTTATAGTGTGGGTAACCTTTGTAACGTTATGAACCTGAATGAGCCGAAAAATACTGTAGATACCTATTCGTGAAAATAGGTATAGTATGAGCACTTTTTTATACTTAAGCCTAAATATAAGGATCTTATTGTGTTGGAGTCTAATCTTTGGTTAAAAAAATACTGTCAATGAAAAACTAAAAAAATTTATTGTATCAAAAATTATTTTTCTCTATCTTATTGATGTGATTTTAGATTTTGGTCTAAATCTATGTTTTTCATTTAATATTTTTTTTATTGTTAATTCTATCCATTT